GCAAGCGGAAGACTGGAGATACCTTGGACTGACCCTGACCTGACTCAGACTGCAATCGAACACTCTCAACCATACAACAGAGGTGTGAAGGCCTTGGCCGGAGACATAGACGAAGGCCAGGGTCTGAGATCATCCATGGACGAACGGAGGGAGGAGAGAGAGACGAAGGGAGGAGGAGAGGGAAGATGACGTCAACTCAAGGTCTCCAAAGATAGTATCTTAAAATGTCAGAAGTGACGAAAATCCGAAATGTTGCGAATGCAATGCCTCACAATGTCTCAGATATCGATCTCACAATGTCAAGTACATCTCCAGAAAGAAGATGAAATCAGATCCCCGAAGTAGTCCTCCACCTATAGTCCCAATGTCGCTATTCCCAATGTCATCAGAATTCGTAACCATCCTTCACACTCATAGTAGCCCTGTAGAAGAACCCAGGAGTAGACGGAGACTGAGAAGGTAGGAGGAGAGAGAGAGGGAGAGAGAGCGGGGCCGGAGGAACTGGGGGAGAGAAGGCAAGCCTTCCTCCCTGGTACTTGAACCGGTAGCTATGGCGCGGCAGGGCCGCTGCGCTGTCGCTCCGTGCTGCTGCGCTCGCTGTCTCCTCGCTGCTCGGACTCGCGTTGCTGGTGCTCCGCTAACGCTGCGCTAATCCTGAAGACTAACGCTATCGTACTAACCTTCTCACTTTACGCTGAGGCTGGTACCCAGCCTTTTGTAGTGATGGGTCGGCCTCCTACCTGCTGGTACCTACCGGCCTGGACCGTTGATCTGAATCAACGGTCCAGTTTTGAACTGGTAGGTTCTGTGCTGGACCGGTACTGGCCTTGTGGCCGTTGGCCAGGGCCTCTATCCCAGGCCTGCCTGGACCGTCGTACCCCTGGCCTACCTGGGCCATATCTGAACCGTCGTCCACCTTAGGCTTACCCTTCCTACCTGGAACCGGGCCCTAACTGGGGCCCGTGTGGCTCAGAATGCCACACACTCCCCCCCTTGAAGACCGAGCTAACTGCGAGGGCGAAGTTATCTGTCCAATGTCCGTACGGGGCGGGCAGGTCGGGCAGCTTCCTTAGCAAGTCGCTGTTTTTCGTAATGCGCGAAGATGAGGGGTGTTGTCGCCTTCAGGTCAGCTCTTGAAATCCAGCGTGTGTCATCCGGATCGCATCGCTTAAATGTAACTTTGTACTGCATAGGCTTGTTGCCATGTTTGCGATGCGTGAGAATGCGGTCGACCTCCTGATGACCATCCATTGAAGGAGGGTCATGTGACCGTCTGCCCGGGAAATCCGCTGGGGAGGCTGGAGTGTAGACCGCCAACTTCGAAGCGTGAAATATCGGGTGGACCGTCAAATGCGGGGGAATCTCAATGATGAAAGATGGACCCGCGGGGTCGTCGTCAGCTGCTGAAGTGACCTTCCATGGTCCAAACCACTTAGGGAGACGCTTGCGCGAGACGTGCTGCTCGAGCGCGAATTCCTCGGAGGTGACCCAAACTGGGTCGCCAGCGCATATTGGACATGGGATGCGATGCCGGTTCGCTTGCTGCTGCTGAAGTGACCTTCCATGGCCCAAACCACTTAGGGAGGAGCTTGCGCGAGACGTGCTGCTCGAGCGCGAATTCCTCGGAGGTGACACAAACTAGGTCGCCAACGCATATTGGACATGGGATGCGATGCCGGTTCACTTGCTGCTGGATACGGACCTGAGCCTTTTGCATGTTTGCGCGGGCTTTGGCCAGCAGTTCCCTGTACTTCCGTGTAGAAGCGGGGGAGCAAGCGGCGTCGATATCNGTTTGCGCGGGCTTTGGCCAGCAGTTCCCTGTACTTCCGTGTAGAAGCGGGGGAGCAAGCGGCGTCGATATCGGCAGCCCGTGGAAGCAAAATGTATGCGAAGATACATCCTTTCCGCCCACCATGATGCAACTCGAATGGAGTCATGCCAATCGCCAGGTGCACCGAAGTGTTGTAGGCGAACTCGATGTCGGGAAGGCGGTCAACCCAGTCCTTCTGATCCGGGCGGATGAGTGTGCGGAGCATCATCTGCGCAGTCTGGTGCGCACGTTCCGTTTGCCCATCCGTTTGAGGATGCCGTGCGGAACTCCAGAAGAGTTTATGCCCAATGGATTATTGGAACCATATTGATGTAAAGCAGCAATATGAAGAATACTAGCGCCGGATTCCACCATGAGTGTCGTCCAAAAGGCCGACATGAAACGAGTGTCGTGCTTGCTGACGATGTCTTCCGGAACGCCGTGACTGCAAAACCAGCCGGTATGCAAGAGTCGTGCGAGCTCGGGAGCCGTCGCATGATACTTGCATGAAAGAAATCGAGCGTACTTGCTCAAACGGTCAACGACCGTGAGAATACCATCATGGCCAAGGCGATCGCGAGGGAAAGGACCGGTCACATCCATAGCAATGGAGAGACCCGGTTCCCGAGGAATCGGCAATGGTTTCAGTTCGCTGTACGGGAGCTGATGGCGCCCTTTGTTCCGGTGGCAACCTGCACATGATTGAATATACCGGTTGACGTCGCTGATGATGTCCGGCCAGTGAAATCGCTGGCGGAGTCGTGCCAGTGTGCGTGCGACGCCAAGGTGTCCTGCCAGCCGCGAATCGTGGTATTCGCCAAGGAGGCGAATGCGCAAGATGCGGTCTTGGGGAACACACAACAAGTCCTTGCCTCGTGTATGAAGAAGCAAGTAGTCGTCGACAATGCGATAGTAGCTTGCCGGCAGGTGCTCCGATGATAAGTCCGCATAGAGTGTGGAGAATCCTGGATCTGACTTGTAGCCATTTATGAAATGTTGTTGCAGGTTCTCGTCGAGGCCGAATGTGGAGTGCACCAGGGCGCAAAGATCGGGTCTTCACGAGAGAGCATCCGCTGCCTTGTTCGAGGAGCCTGGAATGTGCTTGGAGGTGAAGTCGAACTGGTCAATGAAGTACATCCACCGACTGATCGTGCTGCTCACCGTGTTTTGCATCTTGTAATACGTCAACGGATTGTTGTCTGTTGCCCACGTGAATCGCCGACGCCCGAGGAGAAAGTGACGCCAACGCTTAAGTACGGTGACAAAAGCTAGCAGCTCCTTCTTCCTCGCATCATCAAGAGTGTTGATGGGCGGCACCTTTTGGCTGAAGTACTCAACCGCGCCAATGCCATAGCCGGAAGCGTCCGTAGTCACTTTGGTGGGCAAGGTCGGGTCATAGATGCTTAAGCCGGGAGCTTGAAGCAAAGTTGTCTTCAGCGTGTGAAACGCATGCCGGGCTTCGTCGATGAACTCGAAGGGCACCAAGGGGGACTGAAGTCGCGACAAAGGTGCAGCGATGCGTTGAAATCCTTTGACGAAGCGCATGTAATATGATGCCAAACCGAGAAAGGAGCGGACATCAGTAGTACACTTGAGGTCCAGCCAATCTTGAATGGCTTGTACCTTGTCTGCGAGCGGACGAATGCCTTGTGGCGTAACGTAATGGCCTAAGTACTCCAACTCTTGCTGGGCAAACTCGCACTTGTCGCGGTTCGCCTTGTACTTGGCGATACGGAGCCGCTCCAGTACGGCGCGAAGGTGCTCGAGGTGCTCGTCCAGTGTCCGGCTATAAACCAAGATATCATCAAGGTAAACGAGTACGGTGCGGTCGAGCACGTCGCGGAATTCCGTCGTCATGGCCACTTGGAAAGTAGCCGGGGCATTGGGGAGACCGAAAGGCATGACGATCCACTCAAAGTGCCCATACCGCGTCTTGAATGCGGTTTTGTACCGATCTCTTGGCTGGATCTCGATCTGGTGGTATCCGGACTTGAGGTCAAGCTTTAAGAAGTACTTGGCGCCGCCTAGTCGCTCGAGAAGATCATCGATCCGAGGGAGAGGGACGGCCTTCTTGATCGTTTGCGCGTTAAGTTTCCAATAGTCGATTCACAAACGAAGGTCCTTGTTCTTCTTCCAAACGAAGAGAACGGGAACACCGTATGGCGAACAGCTAGGGCGAATCCAGCCCTTGGCCAAGAGGTCGTCTAGTTGTGCCCGAAGCACTTGAAGTTCCTCTTCGCTCATGCGGTAGATACATCCGCGCGGAGGTACAACACCGTCCTCAAGAGTGATCCCGTGGCGTATGGGCCGACCCGGTATGACTCCGGCGGGAGCTTGGAAGACATCCTCATAGCTGTCCAACAGCTCAATGATGCGTGGGTCCGACGTATCCGTCTTGGGCTGATCACCGGGTGGGAGGGCGTGAAGAAAACATATGCCCATCTCCTCGATGTCGTTCCGCCGGATGGATTGGCAAATGCTTGCCGCGGATACCACGTGACAACCAATCCAAGGACGAGGAAGCGGCACCGTACACGGGACTAGTTCGCCACGCCGATCACGAACGTGAACGGTGCGTCGATGGAAGTTCACCGGATGGTCTTCGCTTTACAGCCACGACATGCCTAGGATCATATCGAACTTGGTGTCCAATATGTCGAAAGACCCGGCCTCACATGCTAGCGGGGCAAAGTACACGGGCACCGAGTCAACGCATCGGTCGATTGACTTTTGCGTGTGACCATCGACCAACGTGACGTGCGTAGGCTGACTTTTCCTTTTAACGCGCGGGCCAAGCCCGGCGTGTGCCATGAAGTCTTGGCTGATGTAGTTGCGAGTCGCTCCACAATCGATCAATGCACTGCAGGTCGCCTTTCCGATCTGAATGCGGATGTAGAGGAGCGGCGCATCGATGTACTCGCGGTCGATCTTCGCTAGATAGTTACGAAGATCAACAACCGCTACTCCGCCGTCCGTCGACGAAGGTGGTACTGCAGCGTGCAAGTATTCGCGCAAATGTGCCATTAAGGCGTTGCAATGCGGAGTTGGCAAAGAACCGGTGGAGGGAAGAGGCAACCATTGGAAGTCCTCAACCGTCAACGGGTCGAGTTCCTCAAGTCTCGCCCAAGTTGACGGATCCTCCGTTAGAAGGGTTGGCGAAGCAACCGGTTCGTTGTCCGACGGCAGAACTCTCGCGCATGCACTTGAATCTTGCACGTGGAGAGGCTGGTTCAACAGTGGGACCAGCTCGACAGCATAGTTCTCAAATTCAATGCGAGAACTTGCGATTACCATGTCATCCCCGGATGTGAGAGAGACTGCTAGCAAGGCAGTCGACTCCGGCGGATTGGGAAGTGATGTCGCTGCACTTCCCGCGGGGCTCAGTTTCCCGAGCTTGGACGCTTGACATTTTCCTTGTCCTTGTCGAGGCATGCGCTGGTGATGTGTTTGGTGTTGTTGCACCACAAACAGCATGACCATTTCTGTCGCAACTTGAACATGTCTTCGGTAATGCCGAGATTCGTCCATGGTGACTGTCATGCTCCATCCGCCGACGCTGATTTCGCCTTTTGTTTTCCCCCTCGGGGTCTTGAGCGTTGCGGTGGTATCGCTGCCGCCACATCTCCGTCACTTGATGTAGACGCGGCTGCGGGGTCCTCACTTGGTCCGTGCTGGACCGCTGCTACTTGCGGCGTCCGTTGACCTTTTCCTTTCTCCACGTAACCAGGCTGTTGGCGGGTCTCATTGGTCGCACGCCGGTTACCTTGTATGAGCTCTCCCTTGCCTTTGATATAATGTCATCAAAGGTCTCATACTGGAATTCGCCGCCCAAAGCAGCTGTCAAGGCGTCGCATGACCGGGCGAAGAACTCGGCCCGGATTGAGTCGAACGGTAGGTTCAACTCTGGGGTGGCGACGAGTCTTTGCCACTCCGTCAGCCATTCCCGTGACGTTTGCTGGCCTTGGTATATGCGGAAGATCTTGTTCATGGCGTGTTGTTTGTCATTGTTAACCATGAACCGGGTCTTCCATTTCTTCTCAAATTCCTCCCACGTAATCTTAGTGTGGAGGTTGGCGATGGTGCATTCCAACGTGACGGCCATGTGTGTCATGACAGCCTGCGCCCCTCCGATGAGTTGGAGGTAGAGTGCGTCCAGCTGCCGATGTGCGGGGGTATGATGTACACCTGCCTCCGCGTTGAAAGCCATCCACCATTGCAGCGGATCAGTCTTGTGATAGTCATCGAACTTCTCGATCTTGAAGTTCGACATCTTCCATTCCTTGGCGGCAGCGGCCGGTCGTTGCTCAACGCGGTCGCTGAGCGTCTGCAGCTGATTGCTGACTGTTGATGCTCCAGCAAACTTCCTGATGTCGCTGAGGGATGCGACCACGTGGTTGATCCGCTCCTCGAGTTGCTTGGCCTGCGCGGCCAAAGCTGGGCTGCAGACTACCACTGCACTGCCCGTTGACGCAGCTGCCGACAGTTGTGCCAACCCCATGCTGACATGGGTCTGCAACTGGTCGTTGAGTGTCTGCTGCTGGCTGTTGGCGGTGTGTAGTGTGCTGATCTCGGCCTGCAGGGTAGCGATCTTCTTGTCCAATGCCTTGAATGTTGTTTGATGGCGGATGAAGACCTGCCGCATGGCCAGCAGTTCACGTTGCTGCCAATTGCACGTGTACAGCAGATTCTCCATCAGTACTGCTGTACCTTCCTTGTTACTTTCTTCCTCGGTCGGCTCTTCTCGTTCTTCGGTTTCGTGGAAATGCTGTCGTCGAAGTAGCCTGCTGTACGTGGCTTCGTCGTGTGCAAGGTCCATCGTGGCTTGGTAACGAGCTTGGTGTTGACTTGCCTCGACCTGCTGCTGTTGCAACCGTGCGGCTGCTGCAGCTTCTGCTGCGGCCTGCTGACGTGCTGCCTCTGCCTCTGCCAGCTGACGTTGAATTTCCTGCTGGCGGGAGGCTTCCTCCTCTTCCCACTTGCTCAGTTCAGCTGCCGTGGTCTCCGAGTAGAGCTGAAGACGTTTGAGGAATGCTAGAAGCGGTTCCTCGGCCTGCTGAGCTGGGATAGGAGGGGTAACCGGCCTCTTGGGGCTGGCTTGTGCATTGTCGTCAGTGGTAGCAGCCATGGTGGTGCGTGGCCTGCGCGGAATCCAAGGGGTCCTAGGTCCTTGTTGAGGCTTGGCTCCTGCGGATCCTCGCTCGGCCAGTCGTTGGCTGCGGCGCATCAAGTACTCTGGCTTTCGTCTGCTGCTGATGTGTCACCGCTGAGGTGGCACCTGCTGATGTGGCACTGCTGAGGTGGCCGCTGCTGAGTGGCACTCGGCTGCCGTGGCACGGTGAGGTGACACGTGGCTGAGGTGGCACTCTGCCTTCGTGGCCTGCTGCTGATGTGGCACAGTGCTGACATGGGCGGAGGCTGACGTCCGTGGTACCGAGAGGAGGAGAGAGGAGGTAGGGTGGGGAGGAAGGGCAGAGAGGCAAGCAATGCACAGACAGTCCCTTTCTCCCTGACCTCGAAGTCTGACACTAATCAACAGAAAAATTTCCCCCCCCCCGACGAAATTTTGAAATTTTGAGAAATGAAATAAAATTTAATCGGAAAATACGAGTTAATTAACTAGAATTTTAATTTTGGCAAAAGAAAATATTTAATTAAAGAATATTTAAATTTGCAATAAAAATTTTGCAAAAGTTAAACATTTAATTAAAGAATATTTCAATTTCCACAAGTAAAAACGAATAAAGTTTAAGCAAGTTTAAACATTTAAACATAATTTTAATAATTTCACGAAATTTAATCGGGGGAAGTTAGCATCATTACGAGGTCACTAAGTAAGTAGAAGATCAATGGTTGCAGGAAGATACACAATTTGCTGGAAAAGATTCGAACTTTAATCGCAATAAAAGATGCATTTGCAAAAAGTGAAAGTTCCGTGAAGTTGCAGTCTGAACGTGTCCGTGCTCAGGCCCGATCTGCCTTAACCGGCACGGTGTCTGGCTGGCACTTGCTTCGCATAGGTTGGATAGGCCGTTTAGATTAGGTTAGGACTAACCCTAATTAGCGCTAATTAGGTTACTCGTAATTAGCGATTCCCTAATTGCGCAGTATGGAGAAAAGTCGCAAAATCTAAACTATAATTCAATGACCTAATTACTATGCAAGTATGAGAAAAGAAAAGAAAATTTGCAACTTGCAATTTAATGATAACGGAGTGCAGGTGTAGATAATCAATCAATCAATCAATCAACCAATCAATCAATCAATCAATCAATCACTGGTGAGTCATCCAATGCTGGTCTGCTCCGATACCAAACTGTTGCATACTCGTGAAACACAGTCATAAGTATGGCGCAGATTCCCAGAACCGACCAGATAATACAGAGTTGATACAAATGCAAGCGGAAGACTTGAGATACCTTGGACTGACCCTGACGTGACTCGGACCGCAATCGAACACTCTCAACCATACATCAGGGGTGTGAAGGCCCTGGCCAGAGACATAGACGAAGGCCAGGGTCTGAGATCATCCACGGACGAATGGAGGGAGGAGAGAGAGACGAAGGGAGGAGGAGAGGGAAGATGACGTCAACTCAAGGTCTCCAAAGATAGTATCTTGAAATGTCAGAAGTGACGAAAATCCGAAATGTCGCGAATGCAATGCCTCACAATGTCTCAGATATCGATCTCACAATGTCAAGTACATCTCCAGAAAGAAGATGAAATCAGATCCCCCAAGTAGTCCACCTATAGTCCCAATGTCGCTATTCCCAATGTCATCAGAATTCGTAACCATCCTTCATACTCATAGTAGCCCTGTAGAAGAACCCAGGAGTAGACGGAGACTGAGAGAGAGAGAGAGAGAGAGAGAGAGAGAGAGAGAGAGAGAGAGAGAGAGAGAGAGAGAGAAAGAGAGAGAGAGAGAGAGAGAAGAGAGGAGAGAGAGGAGAGAGAGAGAGAGAGAGAGAGAGAGAGAGAGAGAGAGAGAGAGAGAGAGAGAGAGCGGGGCCGGAGGAACTGAGGGAGAGAAGGCAAGCCTTCCTCCATGGTATCTGAACCGGTAGCCATGGCGCGGCAGGGCCGCTGCGCTGTTGCTCCGTGCTGCTGCGCTCACTGTCTCCTCGCTGCTCCGACTCGCGTTGCTGGTGCTGCGCTAATCCTGAAGACTAACGCTATCGTACTAACCTTCTCACTTTACGCTGAGCCTGGTACCCAGCCTTTTGTAGTGCTGGGCCGGCCTCCTACCTGCTGGTACCTACCGGCCTGGACCGTTGATCTGAATCAACGGTCCAGTTTTGAACTGGACATGGCGCCTAAACTGCGCCGCCGGCAGGTCCTGTGCTGGACCGGTACCGGCCTTGTGGCCGTTGGCCAGGGCCTCTATCCCAGGCCTGCCTGGACCGTCGTACCCCTGGCCTACCTGGGCCATATCTGAACCGTCGTCCCCCTTAGGCTTACCCTGCCTACCTGGAACCGGGCCCTAACTGGGGCCCGTGTGGCTCAGAATGCCACATTCCCCCTGCTCTCCTCATCTTCTTCTTCTGTTACTTCTTGTACTTCTCTCCTCCTCCGCCCCCCCTCATCTTCCATAATACATCCCTCCCTCCCTCCCATCTCACCATAGTCCCTCCCTCCCTCGCCATCTCGCCATCCCTCCCTCCCTCCCATCTCGCCATAGTCCGTCCCATCTCC